GGGGTGGTAAAACTGCCAGCCAGGCGCGTCAGGGACAAAGCCAAGGAAGACGCAGGGAACAGCACGGGTGGAGAGCTTGTCCGCGGTGGTATCGCGGACAAAGGCACGAGAACCCCAGACCCGGAACACCGACGCATCGCCAACCTTCCCCGTCCATCGCAGTATGGGCGAGGTCTCCGGCAAGGAGACACGGGGCCAGAGGCTGAGCTGATGCGCAGAGTAGCGGACCGCAAACGGCCACAGAAAATGGGGGCCAGCCGCATGGACCATGGAGGTACGAGCGACCTCCATGACCAAGCCAATGCGGCGCTCAGCAACCCCATTTTTCTGCGGAGAGGCCGGAAGCATGAACGTCTGGCGAATGCCCTCCCCACGACAAAAGCTCTGCAGCAGGTCAGAGGAAAACTCTCCACCTCTGTCAGAGTGCAGACGCAGGACGGGAAAGTCCGTGTGGAACCGCTCGCGGAGCTGGAGATCCAAGTGATCAAAACAGCAGGGACCTCACCCTTGGTGCGCAAGGGGAAGACCGTGGTGTAGCGCGAGTAGTCATCAACAACCAGCAGGAAGTACCGCTCGCGGTCCTGCCCACGGACGCGGGCTGGGCCCTACACGTCCATGTGCAGGGTCTGCAGGGGAGCAGTCGTCGGGGGGAACGAGGAGGAGTGAGGAGCAGCGCGCTGCCGCCCCTCGACACAGGGAAGGAAGGGAGGAGCAGGGGAGCGTGGGAGAGGAGGCAGAGTCTCCGGAAGGCCAGAGACCAGGAGACGGCGGTGCATGGCCCGAAGGCGGTGCACCGAGGGGTGACTAAGACGGTGGTGCCAAAGAAGGGTCCGGTGCGACAGAGCCCGACACAAGCAGGGGGCAGCTAGCTGACCAGACGCGGTCGCAGACGCAGCTACCTGAGGGGACGCAGTAGTCAGTGTGTACACGGTGAACGTGGCCAGGTGTCGACCAGTCCGGGAGCAAGTGTAGTGGGTCACCCGCTGACCTCCAGGAGTGAACTGGTCAACCCACACATCCTGGAGATCAGCGCCACTCACCAAGTTCGTAGAGAACGAGCCACCAGACGGGACTGCTGGACATGGTAGAACCGTGGAAGAGTGCGCAAGGACTGGCCTCCAGAGGGGTCCGCCAGGGAGACCGCAACCGGCCGACTGAGCGGCGTGAGAGTGGTGCAGTCGCGAAAGAAGGAGCGGGAAGCACATGAGTCAAGTGTGAAGGTGTGCAAGGCCTCAGCGGGCCCAGTACCTAAGAGAGCAAACTGACCAGTACCAGGAGCCGCTGACTCACTAGCACCTGGAGCGGCAGACTCACTAGCACCTAGAGCAGCAGCCCCAATGCCCGGGTCGGGCGGAACACACAGGTAACAGTCACCCTCAGCACTAATAGTCACAGCATACATGGCAGCAAGGAGAGCATCATAATCAAGATCAAAGATAGCAACACCAAACTAGAGCAGATCAGCCCAGCGAGGGAGCTCAGTAGCGTCAGGAAACTGTGCGCGCCAGGCGTCAGTCAGGCGACCGAAACAGCGCTGCGTAGCGTGCGGCAGCCCGCACGTCTCCCTACGGCGGTCGCCTGTGCGAAGAACGTAAGTGCAGGGACCAGCACCCCCAGACCTCCCACGCCCAGCGTACCACTCACGAAGCTGCTGGGGTGACAGAGTCTCACGGGAGCGCAGCTGCTGCTGTCGCTGACCACCGCCAAAGCCTCCACGCTGCGCGGCTCTACTCTGGCCACCACCACCGCCGCCGCCACCTCCACCACCGCTGCCGTTGCCTCCAGCATCTCCACCGCCGCCGCCGACGCCCCCACTCCCGCCACCACCCCCACCTCCACCCCCACCCCCTCCGCCTCCTCCACCGCCACCACTGTCGCCCCCGCCGCCCCCGCCACCACCCTTGCCCCCCTTGCCCTTGCCGCCGCCCTTGCCGCTGCTGCGCCTCCCACTAGGAGCAGTCGCAGCCCCGACCTCCTCGGTGCCAACGAGGTCGACAGCAGAAGCAGAGGCAACAGTGGGCAAAAGGGGAACGGGGGAACACCCCTCAAAGAACGGGGCGCGAGGGTCGCCGCGAGAAGCTCCTACAGCGACTATGCTAGTCTCAGCTGCTAGGAGGTGCTTCTCAAGGAGGTCGACAGTGAGCGTGGTGGGGCAAAGAGAGAGGAAGTGGTCCCTGACTGAGCGAAGAGAGTCAGGGAGACAGGTGACAAGGTAGAAGAGGGTGATGTACATGGGGGGGGGGGGGGGGGGTTCTTGGCGCAAAACTCGGGGGGAAGCGCAGGGCGGTAGCGGGTGTCACTAGTGCGGAGGTGAGTGATGAGGTCAGCAACTGTGGGAAAGGCGGCTAGGTCAGGGAACAAGTACGGCAGCATGAGGCGGCTGAGGGCAGCATTGGCAGGGGAGGAGTAGCGCGCGACTACCGCATCATACAAAGACTTAGCAGTCTTGTACTGGCCAAAGTGCGCGCGCTCAGCAGACGGCAGGTGACTACGAACAGCAAGGCGAGGAACAGCGTCACGAGTAGTCCACTGCGAGCGAACTGTACTGTCAGCATCGGCAGCAGGTGCAACAGAGACGCCGGACGTGTGATCAAACAGTGAGACTCCGTCCCTAGAGTTACACTGCAGATAGAGCTGCAGATCATTGCCCGCCATAGCTACCTATAACGAGGATCACTATAACGCAGCTCTGATACCAGCTTGTTGGTGTAAGGGCCTAATAAACTTAAGCTACTATGACTTAATCAAACTTAAAACCTCTCCTTGGGGTCACCTCCAAGGGTCCTTGGGTGCCTGGTGCAAGATCAGCCCCTTTCCTCGGGTCCGAGTTTGTAGAGAGAGGGATCAAGAATGACTTAGCCAAAAATATTTTGTCTTTGCCCAACCAGCCAAATGCTGGTTCCGCTGGTTTCCCCTGGCCCTGTAGCATGCACATACAGACAAACAACATCCAACCTTCACCTAAATTGTACCCCTATAGTGCCTGCCCTGCTACACTATAGTCAACCAAACAAAACAGTACAATTTCGAGTTGGATAGAAGTGAATCTGCGCAATCAAGTAAGCCGAACCGCAAAGCTTCCATCTTGGGTTCCTTTGCGAGCTCGTCCTTTCTGCTTGTACTGTTCATAGCGCGTACAATGTTGTGCAAAAGCGCACAATGCGCGAGTACCTGCAAATGCTTCAAGCAAATATTGCGAAAGCAAACAAACTCACGAACACACCATTCACACGCAAATGCATTCGCACACGCATACTCGTACAAACAGACGGCAGGATGTCGTGCAAGGTGAATTTGCACCCAACAGTCGATAGTTAGACAACTGATCCTTCGCCCCCTTTTTTGTGAAGCAGGACCGTGACCTCCATCGTGGCAGACTCCGGCAGCACTCCCGACTCCTCAAACTTCTGGATGAAATCCATCAAAACTCCCCCCAGCAGATCCCAATGGGCGACAAAAAGTTCTGCCGGCAAGCCGTCTTGATATGGTGACTTCCCCTTTGGCAGCCCCACTAGCGCCGCCTTCACCTCCTTCTCCATCTACGGCGCCTTGAGTCTCTCCACTGCATCCGCCGGTAACGTTCGGTCAACCTTGAAATCCAGCCTTTCTCCCGGCACAGCGGTGGTCTCCCTGAAGGCCTCAGCGAAGTGCGCCGACACTGCCTTGAGGACCTCCTTTGAGCCGCTGAAATTTTCCCCTTTCAACTGCACTTCCCTGATAATTGTACGCTCCTTCCGCATCTTCACTTTGGCCGACAAGTAAGGCGACGGCACTTCCTCCTGTAGCTCTGTCCTGGGCCCTGCAAACACCTCCAGCCGTTCCCTTTCATTTTCTCGGTAGGACTCCAGTTGCTCCTCCGTGGACAGCAGCTGCGTCCTGACTATGTCATCAACTGGACCCCCCATCTCCAGATGTCCCAGCCTCTCCACCTCTTCAACCAGGTGCCCCTACGTCGCCGTGACCCGTTTTCTTTCCCCCCTTTCGTGTGCTCTCAGCCCCGCCGTAAGCCGCGAGATCATTTGCTCAAGAGACCCCTTTCCGCTGCTGAACGGTGTCTGAACCACCCGCTGAATCACCTTCCGAATCCCTTTTCTGTCCTTCCATGTTGCATGGAACCTCCAGAGACCCGGACCATACACCTGTGACGAGGCGATACGCAGGGACAACCTGATCGCGAACCAGTGATCTGTCAACGTCCTTGGCACTTTAGCATGACCCGCCTCCAGAAGGCTCCCGAGCACGCGATCGATGCGGGATTTCGACATCGTCGCCCTCATCCGGAACGTGTACTCTCTCTCCGTGGGATGAAGCGCACGGAAAGTGTCGTGAAGGTCGTGCGACGGCCACAGACTGATGAATCTCTTGTTTTCCTTCCCAGACCCCGCCCCCAATGACTTGTCCACGTCCGGGTCCTCTATCATGTTCAAATCTCCCACCACCACCAGGTGTGCAGACGATGGCTGAGCCTGCACGAATGGTGTCAACACCTCAGCATGGAACTTCGCCCTGTTGCATGCTTGCGCTGGGAGATACGCCACAATCAGCCGGAAAGATATATCTCCTCCCTCCACCGTCACCCCAAGCAGCCTCCCCGATGGGTCTGCTGAGATGTCCAAGAAACTTATGTGTCGGGCGAAAGCAAGGACAGTAACCCCTCCAGCCGCCTGACTTGGACTGATAGCAGCCCACGCCTTCCGTTTCAGTTCACTCCAAAATTATGATCTTCCTTGATCCGTGTGTCAGATAAGACGACTATGTCTGCTACTGAGCACAACCACCGGCGATGTTTGCTTCTTTTGCCGTTGCTACCGAGGCCGTTAACATTGACGGTTGGATGTATAACCCATTAATCTACTCTTCAGAGAGCCCCACGCATCCACGGGCTTTATTACACGAGTTGATACACATGACACATCTCGCTGATTCTAACTTCTCCTTGTTCAGAATACATGTGTCCCATGCCGATGTCCAGCACAGATCCGTTCTCCGCCGTGCAACCACTACTTCCCAAACTCCTTCCGGACATCCGCCAGGCACTGCTTCCCCCTGCTCTGGCGCGTAGCAGCTCCCGCCTTGAGCAGACCAGTGCAATGGCGTTGCGACTGAGCATGCTCCACAGCCTGTTTGAAATTGCTTCCATGGGCCTTTCCGCACTCCTCTTGCACGCAGACCCACTCCTCCCGGACCCCTCCCACCGAGGTAAGGGAAATCGCCGGGTCCGCCATGATGATCTTCGCCGCCGCTGACAGCTTCAGAGAAGCAGCTGCTCGGGGGGGAGGCAGTACAGAGATCAGCTCGGAAGAACGCTGCTGCAACCACTGCAAAGCAAGGTAAACGTGTGTGTCTTTACCGTTAATCTCATGAGCATGCAGTAGCAACAGACCCCCGTTGCCGATATTGTTCTGCCTCTCCTTGACATACTCATCGTGGAAACATGTCATGTGCATGCTGTTGCAAAAACCGCAGGTGAGAGCAGGGAAAGATACAAGGAGATCAATGCCATGAACCTTGTCAGTGACGCGATGTCACCACTTATACTTATCCCCCGTGTGCCTGTAGACCAGGCCCTTGATCTTATCCGTGTCTGACCCCGAGACAGGATCCAGGACCCTATGAAACGCCGAACCCTCCCGGAAAGCCGTACGACCCCGCTTCATCAGCAGCGCAGTCACCAGATTCTTATGGACCATCTTTGGTGAGATCACCGCCGGAACCCCCTCTAAGAAGCACCTCAATCGCCTCCGGGTGCAACGCATGCTCCTTCAGGTAAGCGGTGTTCTCCGGATGCTGCCAGCCGAGTGTCAGCTTCTTGTCATTCATCGTGTAATGATCCACCTCCCTGCTCCAGACGAAATTCGCATCAGCAGCCTGCAGAAACACCACCTGCATCCGGCCGAAGTTCTTCTTGGAGAGGTAGGTAGCCGACAGCTGCTGAAACTTGATCGTGTGCCTGACATTTTCCGAGAGGTGCTTCCCCCACACCAGCAGCATGTGCCGAACCGTGTTGATGGTGCGAGGGACTTCCTTGTTCCAGGCGAACGGGATCAGCAGAGTAATGGCGAAACCTGTCGGCGCAGCAATTTCGTTGAGCATCTCCGGGTCTTGGCATTCGTCCGGATCATCGCTGAGGTAACCGTCGTCGTTGTCCTTGTCCTCCACTTTTGCCTTGCCTTTTTCCAGCACATCAGGCGCTGCCGACGAGCTTCCAGCAGTAGTTGGCTTAACCGTGCCATTTTCCTTTCCTCCCGTCGGCAGATCATTCAGCTTGAGAGCAGACATACAGGCCGACAACGTCTTAATCACTTCCACGCCGAAAGGACCAGCCCCGCCGTTGAAGAGCGTCTTAGGAGTAACCGGATCTGGTCGCGCGTCAACCGGCTTCCTCCCGTGCGCACCCGCAACGCCTGGAGCGGACGAGACCGGCGCATCACCAGCAGGAGCCATGGGGTGATGATGATGTCCAGAAAGGGAATCTGTAGAAGTAGATCGTAAAAGAGAACTGAGCCCCGGAAGCTCTTGCGGTGGCTTGTGTATTCCCCTCTTCCTACGCCTGTCTTTGTAGGAGATGAAAGCCTTGTACGTAGCAACGGGACAATACTCCTTAGGAAAACAGACGCCATTAGCCTTGGAAGCACCGCGAGCCCCAGAAACTTCATTGTCAGGAAAATCCTTGAGAGTGCTTGACAATAAGACCGTTTGTACAATGTCCTCTGTATGAACATAAAAAGTGTACGTACGGAATCCTAAAGTCATAAGGAATACGAATCTAGGCTTTAAATCCCCAATTGATAAGAAATTGTAGGACATTGGCTCGATTAAACTTCCTAGAAACGGCCATGCCAGCCTTGAGGTTGTCAAAAGCAAAGTGAGTTGGTAACGTAGTCATATCTCCAACAATTTAGCATAGAAGGGGTAACACGAGTATGGTTAGTACCACGAGTAAGGGCATTACATATCCATATGGTTGGTACCTGTCACATTTGTATGAATGTGAAGGGTAAAGGGAAGAGCAAAGGAGGTGTAAATACTGTATAAATTGTACATAGCGGGTTAGCGAAGGCGAGGATGGGAGGCGAGGGGTCAGATGGAATTTCACGAGGTGAAGGGAGGGGTGGGTTGCCGAGCCGAAGGGTCGGAGGGTTGCGAAGGAGGGAGTGGGGCGGGACTTACCTAAGCAAGGGGATGACAGCAAGGATCGGCAGCAGAACAAGGCAGGGGCAGGGAGGAAGGCAACTACAGCGCCAGCTATGGATGGGTGTACGAGTGCATGCTTGTTTGCTTTCGTGTGTGTGCAGGATTGCTCCAGGGAGCCAGCTGGATCTGGATGATAGCAGCTGGAGGCACAGTAGCAAGGGGCGGGAGAGTAGGGTAAGAAGCAGCATGGCTGCAAGTCTGCTCGGAGCAGCCTCTATGGCGTAGACAGGATGGCAGGGCAAAGGCGAGCAGGCGGATCATGTGCTGGTAGAATAGGCGGAGCCTTGGTAGCAATTCTCATTGCTTGTATGTTTCTCTTTTTACACGAGTACTTTGCGGCGAACTGAGCAAGTAGTGAACCTAGGGAGACATAATGAGCATGAAGCCTTAGGATAGCGATTAGGAAACGGAGGTGTGTGAGGGAGCATAGAGCTCATCACATACAAGCAATCTGTGGACGGTGGGGGCATGCCCACAAGGTCAGGTCTAGATTTCGCAGTGAAGAATCTGATAGCAGAGACGAGAACGATGGAAGATAACGAGCAGAACGAGCTCGGAACCGGCGGAGTGGCAGGTACGCACGGCGCTGAAGGAGATGTGACAGGGAGAACGGGAGGAGCCACGGGCTCCGGTGTCGAGTGCGAACTGCCGCGCGGGACAGAGAAGGAAGGAGGTAGCGCAGGGGTGGAGAAGCCCATCTTCGCAGAGGGCGCAGCGCTGACAGGAGGAAGGAGAGGCAGCGATCGGCCGTATCAGCGTAGCGCGTCGTGGCAGGGCTTTGAAGAAGAAGCGGCGTCAGCACGATGGCGCTACACGATGCTCTCGAAGGTGGAAGTACCGGAACGATTCTCCGGAGAAAGCCGACGCGGGCTGTTACTGAAGAATTACCTGATGCAGCTGGAGAATCTGCGGGCGCGATGGGAGCGAGATCGTTTGGCGGCGGATGAGTTTTTCAGGGGATTGGCCAACACGCTGACGGGAGAGGCAGAGACGTACTACCGGATCTACCGCCGGGAGCTTCTGGATTGGGCAGAGCAAGGAAGGCCGGGGGAGAGAGATCCGACGAAGCGATTCTTGGAGATGCTGCGTGATCAGTTCCCGCTGCAGACACCGGAGCGGGTCATCGAATTTCGAGACTTCAAACGGAGGACGGGAGAATCTCTATTGGCGTACTATGGGCGGTTAGTGGTGCTCGGGGAGGACATGAGTTGCGTGGATCAAGGACGACTCGTCAGCAAGTTTCTCAATGGTCTGAACTATGAGCTGCAGCGGGACGTACAAGTGAAGATCTTCGAGATGGGGGCAACGGCAACGCTGAGAATTGCGTACGAGACGGCAAAGAGGGTGGAGACCGGCCGACGGCTGTTCGAGGTGGAACGGACGAGTGAAAGGTCAGCGGAAAGGCGGAGGCCGGCATGGAGCGCGAGCCCAGTGGAGTTTGAACGGCCGCCAAGGGGACCTGCGGACACAAGGAAGTGTCATAACTGCGGCAGGGGCGGGCATCTGCGTCGAGACAGCTGCAACCCACCCGCGTGCTCCATTTGCGGCAAGGAGGATCATCTGAGGAGGGACTGTCCGGAGACGCCTACGTGCGAAAAATGCGGAAGGAAGGGTCACGGAGAGCGGGACTGCTACTCGCGCCGAGGGTAGCCGAAGGATAAGGGGGAAATGGCAGAGATGTGGGCGGAGATAGAAAGGTTGCGAGCCCAATTGGAAGAACGAGAGAAGGGAAAGGAGAAAAGGCCGGCTATGGTGGCGAGGGAAGAAGAGGAGGAAGAAGGGAGCGAGGAAGAATTCTGCCTGATGGCCAGGCCTGCCAGGGAACGAGACGAGCTGGGCCTGAGGCCGAGGGAGAGGTACTTGCGACCAAGGACCGAAGGACCACAGGAGCAGGGACCCAGGCGGCAGGCAGGGGAGGCTAGAGAAGGGATACCGCCTCGGCGTCACCCGCTGGAGAGGCTGAGCTGTGCGGCATCAGTACTAGTGGCGGAGAAAGGGTATATCAAGGTGGGAGGACAGGCAGTGAAGCAGGCCATCATCGACACAGGCGCGCATCCAGTGCTGATAGGGAAGCGGTTGGCGGAGCAGCTACAGCTGGACAGGCCGGAGAGGCAAATAGCAGAGGGACTGCTGCTCATGACGGCGGAAGGCGGAGGAACAAAATGGATGCCGAAGACGCGGGCAACGGTCGAGATCATGATCAGGCGGGGAAGTCCAGAAGAATGTTCCGCGAAGCTGCAGTGCGGGATCTCGCCATCCGAAGACTACGACCTACTCTTGGGAGTCGAGTTCCTCTACAGCATCGGCTCGACCATCTGCATGTGGGAGGAGAAGCCGATGTACAGAGTGACGTACTGGGAGTATGACGGTCGCCTGGCGAAGCTACCCGTGCGTTTCATTCGCCGTGAGCCGCGAGCGGCCTACCAGGCTGAAGTGAAGACGGCAGAGCAGGAGCTGGGGCGGATGAACTGGGAAAAGCTGGAAGAGGAGAGGCGGTACCGGGACTGGCACCGACAGTAGTGGGGGGAAAGTAGGAGCCTGAAGCAACTGCACCTAGACAGCAGGGTGTTCCAGAAGCCAATCGTGCTCCTGGAATTATTCGGCGGCATCAGCACGGGGTTGGCAGCAGTACTGAAAGCAGGACTGCGTGTGGAGGAATATATTCATGTGGACAATGAAGATGCGGCAAGCGCCATGTCTTGGCACCACATCAAGAAGCTGGAGGAACGCTACCCCTCACAGCTGTATGAAGGAGCGGTGGAGCGAGGAGCGGAGTGGGCTTGTCATCGCGTGGAGGATGTAAAGGAAGAGGCGCTGGCCCGCTGGGGGCACGTTGACTTGGTGATAGCAGGCTGGGAATGTCAAGGCATGTCGCGGGCCGGAGAAAGAAGAGGGATGAGTGATCCGAGGAGCGGGCTGTTCAGAGAACTGATCAGGATCCTCAAGCTAATCAAACAAAAGCAGGGAGAAGTGGCATACATCGTGGAGAACTTGGACACCAGGGATGATGAGAGGGAGGCGGTCAAGCTGGCGGAAGAAGAGATCAGAGGAGAGCTGGGGGCAGGAGTAGCATGGGATGCTGCGCAGAATGGAAGCCGATCCCATCGGACACGCAGATACTGGCAGAACATACTAGCGGAAGCGGTCCTGCAGTACGAACTGTCAATGATGGAGCGACCACGGCCAAGGCTGGTGGCTGACATACTGGAACCGGCGAGGATTCCGGCGCCAGTACGTCACCCCGATCACGAGACACAGTACCCCTGCAACAAGGTGGGGAGGCCACGGCAGGCATGGCCGACGCTGGTAGTATACGAGGGGGCGGAGGGCTTCAGGATGAGGGGCGAAGTGGAGGGGCCAGGGATGGTGTTTGACCAACTGAAAGGGGTGTGGGAGGAGCCGACTGCACTGGAACGAGAGTTGGCGATGGGCTTCATGGCAGGAGCGACGGCGAGCTAAGAGGTGACAGAGGGACAACGGAGGAGGGCGCTGGGCAGGGCGATGGACCTCAATGCGCTGCACTGGCTGGTGGGCACGCTGGACAGACACCTGGAGCGGAACCGATTGGAGCGGCGAAGGGATCACGCAGCCAGGGCGGAGCCAAAGACACGAGATGATGAAATAAAAGAGGAACAGGCAGAAATCCTGCTCGAGCATTTGGAAGAGGAGGCATGGGAGATGAGGAGAAAGGGAGTGCCGCAGGAGAAGAGGGAAGAAAGGCTGCACGACCATCAGGGGGTTCCAGGGCGGTATCCAGACCAGGAGGAAGAGGAAGAGGAGTGGTGGGAAGGAGAACCTGAGATGGATTGGGACTCAGAGCAGGAGGAGGACCCCACGGAGAGATGGATTCCGGATCCGGATGAAGTCTTCTTGGGGCCCAGTCGGGCGTATATGGCAAGCCGGGCAGAGGATGCAGTGGAAGGGGAGGGACCAGGAGCAGAGGAAGAAGGGAGAGCAACAGAACAGCCTGAGGGACCGGACGCGGCCCGGGAAGCGGGGAGAGGAGAAGGACCGGGGGAAGTGGAGGTCGCGGAGCAGCCACAGGGACAGGAGACTCGTCGGGACATAGGCGGAGCCATGCATGGGGAGACAGCGCTGAGATTGGAGGCAGTGCTACGACAGCACGCAGCCGCATTCGCACACACGCTGCAGCAGCTGGGGAAATGCGTGACCAGCACCATGCACCTGCATTTGACTAGTGGGGTACCGGTGTATCAGAGGAGGCGGAGGATGAGCCTGCAGGACATCAG